CCGAAAGGGGCAAACATAAACAAAAAGGGTGTATGTCCTTGTCTCCCAGTCCCTTAGTGTCTGTGTCCCCATGTCTCCCAGTGTTCCCATGTCACTAGGACACTAGGGGACATTCAGAGACATTGGGACACTGAGATACTAGGGAACTCTGGGAGACCTAGGGACACTGGGGACACTCTTGGGGACATTGGGAGACATGGGGACACTGGGTGACTTTGAGACATGAGGGTACACTGTGAGACATGGGGCACTGAGACACTGTGATACTTAGGGGACACTGGACCTGGGTACAGGTCAAAACATTGTGGTGTCCAATAAACCTGCTTAAATCGATCAGTGTGTGCCTGAGATTTTTTTCTTTTATTCTAGGGGACACTGAGACACTTGGGGGCACTGTGAGACATGGGAACACTGGGGGACTAGGGGATTCTGAGGGACTAGGGGACACTGAGACACTGAGGACACCGAGACACTAAAGACACTAAGGACACAGACACTAAGGACACTGAGACACTAAGGACACTGAGAGACATGGGGATACTGAGATACTAGGGACACTGGCTGGGAGACATGGGGACACTGGGAGTGCCCCATATCTCCCTGTGTCCCCTAGTTTCTCATTATCCCCATATCTCCCAGTGTCCCCTAGTGTTTGTATCCCCATGTCTCCCAGTGTCCCTTAGAGTCTGTGTCTCCATGTGTCCCAATGTCACTAGGACACTAGGGGACATTGAGAGACATTGGGACACTGTGAGTCTTGGGGACACTGAGACATGGGGACACTGAGATACATGGGGACACTGAGATACTAGGCCACTCTGGAAGACTAGGGACACAGACACTAGGGACACAGAGACACCAGGCACACTGGGAGACACCGGGCACACTGGGAGACACGGGGACACTGAGACACTAGAGACACTGGCTGGGAAACATGGGGACACTGAGAGACTAGGAGCCACTGGGAGACATGGGACCACTGTGCCCCTAGTGTCTCAGGGTTCCTATGTCTCCCAGTGTCCAAATGTCTCATCGTCCCCATCGTCTCGCAGGCTTGAAACTGCTGTCTGGACTCTCTGTGCTGCTCCCCGTGGATCAGTGAGTAGAGAGAGACAGGGAGGGAGATGCTGTAACTTCTTATCCCTGCCTCTCTCCACACAAATAGCGACCCCTATTGGCCGGTGCTGGCATTGCAGAATAATCTCTGTTTATACTGAGACAGACATTTGCTAGGCAGCCTCAAATACCTGAGAAATACCTGGCAACCCTAAAAGTAGTATGTGTGTAAAAAAAAATTAAAAAAGAATTATATATATATATATATATATATATATATATATATATATATATATATATTTTTTTTTAAATCAATGGGCCTATTCCATGGGCCTGGAGCTGCAGCTCGATCAGCCTCTATGTTAATCTGGCCCTGCCTTTTACAATTTTGTACCACTTTTTAGAAAGGAATAATTTGATAAATCTTCACCAATGTCTTCCCTCTGCTTAGATGAGCTTACAGAGTGTGAATTCATGAGTATTCAAAGCAAGTTCAAAGCAAATTTTGTCCACAATTAACAAAACTGAAAACATACCAGACTGAGTGTTTATCCCATTCAACTAACTTGGCCTATAATTTGAATTCCAGTTTTTCCTGTGAAATCACATTTTAATGAATAACTGTGTGAGTCGTGTTTTTCCCAACTATGCAAATATAAAAAAAGAGTAGATGGAGTTGTGATAGTGGACTGACAGGATATCAACATAAACCTCTTCACTGCATATTCCCAAGGTAAGTATTTGCAAACAATCCCTGCAACCCCACACAGAGTAAATATTTGATGGAAAACATCAGTAAAATGTCCCCCAGCTAAAAAAAATATATAATATATCACATTGTATTTTTTTTTTTTTGGCTTTATTTCCAGTCATAAGTGTGCCTATTTGATAAAAAATGGTTGGCTGTGGAGATTAATTCAGAAATAATCATTAAAAAAATATTGTAAACTCAGTGATGTTTAAGCATAACAACACCTCCCTTACAGTTTTAAATAAACACAGGGTTATTTATTCACTAAAGTGTGAATTACCAGGAATTCAAAATAAATTCAAAGTGGATTTCAAACTTCAGGCCACAATAGCAGAATTAAAAAAAAAAAAAAAATCTGCAAAAAAAGATTTTTACATTCCTGACATTTCAATCTTTGGGGTATTACCAATATTGTTCAAACTAAGCATACTGTCACGGTGAGAAAAGCACACAGAAAGGTTACACATGACTGAGACAATTCAGAATCACAGGTCTCAGTGCATACTCTCAAAACATGTGGGTATATTAGTATTGCTATTTGTAGAGTGAAAAACAAACAAACGTTTATGTGATCTGCACATCATCTACACATCATTGAATTATAAATAATAAAGTCTATATCTAATATCTTTAATTAATTAATAAAGAATGCAGGTACCTTAATTAAATAAAAGCCAAGTAAATTATCTTTAACCTAATTAATAATAACAACAAAAAATAACAATATAAAAAAATTAAAATAAAAATTATGGTAAAGTATACTAAAAATCTAAAATATAATTTCGTAAATGTGTCATTCTCGTTATAGTTTCAACTCAATTAAACATTTTTTTTTAAAAAGTCAATAAAAAAAAAAAAATCACTGCCATCAATCATAGATCTTGGAAAAAGGCAACATATCTGACTACATACTAAAAAAAAAAAATAAGATAAAAAGGATTTAATCTCTTTAGTTTTCAAAAGAGGGCAGAGAAAATCCAGATAAAATATCCTTTAATCTGAAAAAATCAATTTTCTACTTAATTAATACAATATTTATCATGTTTTTTTACTTTTTCAAGCAGAAAAGAAAAAAAGAAAAAAAATTCACTGTAATCTAAATGAAATGTTACATATCTGGCTACCTACCTTTGGCATTCTTCAGCAAACTTTGCGTTGTCATGCAGTGTGTGTGTGTGTGTGTGTGTGTGTGTAACAATTGTGTATTGTATTCTATAGAGTATAAAAAGATATCATATGAAACATGGGAGAAAATAAATTTACCTATAAGCTTGTCCAGTGTGCTGCTGCCTCTGAGAACAAGGTGTAAGTGACATGCTATGTACAAAGCGATGAATGACCTATGGACCCAGAAACCAGTCGATCAATCAAAGCGACCTTTATTATGCATTTGCTCCAGGCTACCCAGCACAGCGCGGTGTCACAGCGGTACATTGACCTGTCAATCATTCCTTAGCCCCACCCTCTCTCCCTCCACCGCAGCTTTGGCTGTGGGCGTTAACTTGCACCGCCCCAGATGATTGTGAATGAGTGACGTCACTGCGTTAGGAGGCAGTGGCTCGACGCGCAGCCAATTGGCGTTGAAGTGACGTGTAGAGTCAGCGTCGCCCAGCTATGGCCGGTGAGTGCATGTAACTAAGAGGAGGGATAGTATCACAGAACTACGGTCCACCATATTGCTGTGTCAGCCATTCACATGGCAAAGCATCACGGGAAGAGTAGTCCACAGCAGCTGGAGTGCCAGAAGTTCAGATTACTGATTAATGTGTCAATCAGGAAGTAAGGGTCCAGGCAAGGGTCAGAATTGCCCATTCTGTTAGTGCAGATATAACAAGGTGGCACTTTGATGGGAACCCAATTTTATCTATATATGGTGCTAGTTAAAAGGCTGCCATAGGTATGTATTATATTATATTATATTATGGGGTTTATTTTCTGAACTCAGATCTTAAAGCAGAACTGTCAATTGTTTGAAAGTGACCATTTGTTCTTTCACAAGTAAACTACTGAAGCACTTACTGGTGTGAGGAGCTCAGCAGAGATAATTATGCCCCGTTTCCACTGAGCGGTACAGTTTGGGTAAGTACAGTCTGGTACGCTATTTTGCGTGTTTTTAGAATTCCTGGGCCCCCTTTAGATGTAGGTCCATAAGAAATGGTACAGTACGGTACGGTTAGGGCGGAGCAACTGGCGTCACACTATACAATCCATGGATTGGCGGACAGGAAAACGTCAATGCTCACGACAAATGACACGCTAAGCCTTTGGTCTAAACCCCGGATGCTCCCTGGCAGTCCGACTTGTAGTGGAAACACTCACCTGAGTAGGTTGGACCATTCTAACCCCTCCGAACCATACCGCTCCAGTGGAAACGAGGCATTAGAAATGCACTCAACTCAGCTGCACTTCTGGGGTCTGGGTGTTCTCACCCCTTGATGCTCTGGGCACACTTATTCTAAGAGAAATGGCTAATGATCACATGCATGTTTAACCAATCCTTCCTCAGTGCAAAATGTGTGCATACAGTACTAGGTGAGGTTTGGCCTGGGGTGGCAAATTTCAGTGAATGTCCCTTTTTCACACACAACTCAGTGATATCATTGTGGCGGGTCCTACTCAGACTATGCTATATCTGTGTTTGCTAGATTGAGGCTGCTGGAGTTGTGTGGTGTGACATCATATGACCTGCATAGTATGAGGACACATTCACAGTAATCTGTGCATTTTTAAGTGATGTAACATTTGATTTCTGTAGCTCCTTTGATGTTAATGTTTGACATAACTCCACAGCCACTTTCAATAATCTCTAAATCATACACACTCCTCGTTGTTTTGCAGCCTAGTTGGCTCAAGTATTGCGATCTCATGATGAAATATGCCGATGGGTTAGGTCAAGCCTGGAGTTCATTGGCCTGTCTGCCTGATCACAAGTCCGCACTGTGCTGGGCTAGCAAAGACCCTGCACAATTCCTGCTCAGCCCTTAAATACAAATAGTTGGCTATCAGTATGTCAAAAGAACCAACAGGTGAACGTTCTGCTTTTATAACCAGTGGAACAATGGTTACAGTATATTCACTTTCAGTGGTTTGCTGCTTTTATTATGTTTTTTTTCCCTCTGGGTTTTATATGTTAAATATAAATAACCCTTCTGCTTAGTAGTATCCCAATACATGATTGTACCAGGTGAGATTGCTAATATGCTTTTTCATTTTTTTTCTTTTTTCCTGTCATCAGGCTATTGACTTCCTTGGTTATGCCAGGACTTATCATAATCATAATTTTGTGCCTCCTCATTGTCACCCTTATATATGGTCTGCGCTTGTGGATTCAGCATAAGAAAAAACAAAACGTGCAATTAAACAAAGATGGAAAGAAGAAAACGGTGGTGGCATTTTTCCACCCATACTGCAATGCAGGAGGTGGAGGGGAGAGAGTACTTTGGTGTGCGCTGAGAGCCTTGCTGAAAAGGTAGGAATTTGGCCAAATCTTAGTTTTGTTACTGTAAGCAACATTACTACTACAGCGCTTTCTGGTAGTTTCTGCCCATGCTCAGAGTTTATCATTAATGTTCAAGTTGGACGGTTTTGAACTTAAAATGTGAAAGTGATCTTCTGCGTTATCTAAGATAATGAGCAATGGGTTCAAGGAAGAGCCACACACAGATTTTGTCAAACTGCTCCAAAATGAGTCGACAGACTACCAGTGGACCAAGTCCATTGACTTGTAACCTCATATCCACTACTTTGAACGATAGTGTTTATGGTGCTCAGAATGCACTTTTAATTTGGAGTGTTTAAAATCTGTGGAAAATGTATTTTAAAAACAATAAGTAACTAATTTTAAATCACTCTTAAGTAGGGCTGAACAAATGTTAGTCTTTAGAATTGCAAAGTATCGTGGAAGTTACAGTTATACAGGGATCTATGGTTATAGCCCACCTCTGCTCTAAAGTGATATTTGTGTAGTATATTATATGGAACTTTGGGCCCTGTTGTGAGTGTAAAATCTAGCAGGTGGTGGGGAGATAAAGAAGGGAAGGTCGTATCATGGAAGATGAGGCTGGATTGTGAGAGACAAGGCATGGTAGTGAGCCATGAATAATGTGGGGGTATTTTGAGAAACTTGTTAAGAAAGTGAGTAGGCATTTCTGAGAGGATGAGATTGGATTGTGCACCATAGGAAAGTGTGCATTGTGTTGCATCGTTGAAGGTCATTATGGTGCTGGTGTCAGACCTAACTAAAATTATAGTAGATTTTCAAGTATATACCAAAAGTTTGCAACTATATAACTGTAGGAATCTTGTCTAAATTATACTTTATTTTGTTGTTTTAGATATAAAGATGCCAGTTTTGTTGTTTACACTGGTGATAAAGATGCCACTGAAGAACAGATTCTGAATAGGGCCTTTGGACGATTCAACATCAAACTAACCCATACTGTAAAATTCATATTTTTGGAAAAACGTGAGTTTGTGGAAGCAAGCCGATATCCTCATTTTACGTTGTTGGGTCAAAGTCTCGGTTCCATTATTCTAGGTTGGGAGGCTCTGATGAAGTGTGTACCAGATATTTATATTGACTCTATGGGATATGCATTCACTTTACCGCTTTTCAAGTATCTTGGAGGCTGTAGAGTTGGATGTTATGTGCATTATCCAACTATCAGTACAGATATGCTGTCTGTTGTTCGTAGCCAACATGCAAGGTTTAACAACTCTGCATATATTACTAATAATCCTGTCCTAAGCAGGCTTAAGTTAATATACTACAATCTTTTTGCAGTATTATATGGATGGGTTGGCTCGTGTAGTGATGTAATAATGGTAAACTCTACGTGGACTTTTAACCACATACTTAATTTGTGGAAATGCAGTGAGCGCACAAACATAGTGTACCCACCATGTGATGTACAGACCTTTTTAGATATCAAATTAGACCAAGAGCAGGAAAGAAGAGACCATTCAATTGTTTCAGTTGGCCAGTTTAGGCCTGAAAAAGACCATTCACTTCAGATCCAGGCGTTTAAAAAACTGTTGGCCAAGAAGACATCAGAAGAAACCTCAAAGCTGAAGCTTATCCTTATTGGTGGATGTCGTAACAAAGAAGATGACGATCGTGTGTCTGAACTAAAAAAGCTTAGTTTGGAACTTGGTGTCCCTGTGGAATTTAAAGTGAACATCCCTTTTGAAGATCTAAAGAAGTGTCTGAGTGATGCTACCATTGGGTTGCACACCATGTGGAATGAGCACTTTGGAATTGGTAAGAAAGTTTTTAAATTACCTTTTGTTTAGATAACATAAACTTAAGTGACTTTTAATTTAAGTGTTTAGTTGTGAGAATGCCTTTGCCATTTCCCATTATCTTAAAGGGAACCACAAGCACTACACCCACCTGCGATTATTGCATGGGCTCTGGTTCATTGACTTCCTCATTTCTGGTCCCTTTTTTCTATTAAAAGGAACACACTGACACTAAAATAAAAATAAATATATACATATATATTTTTTAATGTTGGTGTTCATTACTTGGCATACCTGACCCTTTTAACGTTCAGTAAAATACCTGTAATCCAGTCATGCGATATTTGCTGAAGTTACAGCAGATTTATCTAAACCTGCATGCTTTCCATAATTGCTCCTCCTGACTAGTATAAGATTCTGTACGGCCTTAAGGTGTGCTGTTTGGCGCTACTGGGTTATATATAATTACCTTCATTTCATTGTATTCCTGTACAGTTCTTGGTACCTCTGGAGAAACTAACCTGAAATATCAGACCTTTCACCGCTACACAACATGGGGAGCAGACTTGTAGAGTTACTGAAAACCATTTTGAGTTTAACAGGCTTATCCATTGTGAGAATTCAAAGTGAATTTCAAATTTAACACCAGAGAAGCCAAACTAGTTTAGTGTAGATGGTTAATACCTAGGGCTATTTTTCACCAGAACGTATATTATAGCTGAGAAGTCTAAATTAGTTGCAATAGGAGATTCACGATGATGTTTAGTGAAATTTCTTATTTATTTAATAACATTTTGATTTTGTACTGGCAAGTTGTGTTTTTTTTTTTAACCACTGATTCCTTGACCTTGTGACTAATCTGTCAATGGCAGGATTTGAGTCTGATTGCAGATAGCACTTTGTGGCAGTGATGTCCTAAGAGAGGATGTTTTTCATTGATTTACATGTGCAGGTAATAGATACACTTGTGATTTTTTTTTTTTCTGTTTTGTTTTGCAGGAGTAGTTGAATGCATGGCAGCCGGGACAATCATTCTCGCCCACAATTCAGGAGGTCCTAAGATGGACATTGTGAAACCTTTTGAAGGCCAAAAAACTGGGTTCTTGGCAGATAGTGAGGACAGCTACGCTTCGGTTATGGACCAAATCCTGTCCCTGTCTCCAGAAGAAAGACTGACAATAAGACAAAATGCTCGCCGTTCTGTCACCAGATTCTCAGACAGCGAGTTTGAAACAAATTTTCTGTCTGCTGCAGAGCATCTGTTTAAATAACTGACTAGAGGTTGTTGGGTTTTGTGTATATATTGCAAAAACAAATGGAGTAAAATATTTTTGTTACTGGACTCATGGTAATTCTAGTGTATAAATTAATCATTTGTAAATACTGTATGTAACAGCCAAGGCTATTATAAATGAATCTGCTAGAATGTTACAGAAGTGCAATACTGATAAAAATGCCAGAATGTTGTGAAAAGCAAACTTTTTTTTTTTTTCCGCAAACTTTTGTGTAAAAGAGCATTTCAGCTTTAGATGTTTATACGATGCAGTAACATTGGAAACCAGTGGAATGTTCCTGCTAATTCAGTAATTTGCTCACGAATTGCAGTATGTCTGTAAAACCTATATTCTACATTGTACAGTAATACGATATATTTAACTGCTAACCAAACCTAAAAATATAAGTTTGAGACTTTACAATCATATCCATTTACTTGAATGTTTAACTTTGGATGGTTTATAAGAGTTAACCCAAGGTATTACTGTGCTTATTACAGCAATTATAGGGTTAGTGTAACCTCTGTAGTGGTGTCAATGGGTGATCGTGCCTGGATTCTGTATATGCAGTATTTTGCTATGAAATGATGCCCATACAAAGTTTAACCATTTTTGTTGCTGGATGAGTTATTCAAACACCAGCAGCATCACTGGGGAGTAGTCATCCAGTACCGAACAAGCTGGCTAATATAGCTAGCAATATTTTATAGAAAACAGTTTTTTATGTTAGAGTAACCCTTTATTGGTACTCATTATGGGTGTTGGTAGGAAGAAAGTCCAAACTCTGTGAACAAGTACAATACCTACTACAACTGTAGGTGACACACAAAAAGGGTTATTTACTAAAATTAAGAATTCTATGGGAATTCAAAGTGAAGGATAAAATAGCCAAGCTATGCTTCAACTTCATATACTTTTGGCTAAAATGTGTAATGCACTTTCAATTCTCACTTTAGTGAATAAACCAGAGGATAGTTCTTAATATACTATAACATCGGAAAGGGAAACTATAGTGCCAGCAAAAGAAGAAAAAAAAAAAAGCTCCATATAGTGCCCTTCCTCCCTGTGGTGCAGAAGGGGTTAAAAATCCCTTCTGCATTTACCCGAGTCCAGCGCTGATGTCTCTCGGCACTTACTCAGTTTCCGCCTGTGCTCCTCCCTCGCCAACAGCCACACTCGCCTTAGGACTTTCCCCATAGAAAAGCATTATACAATGCTTTCCTATGGGGTTTTGGGTGACGCTGGATGTCCTCATGCCAAAAGTCTGGTAGACAGCCACTAGAGGTGGAGTTAACCCATAAAGGTAATTATTGCAGTTAAAAGGATCATTATAGTATCAGGAAAACAAAGCGGATTTCCTGACACTATAGTGCCCTGAGGGTGCCCCCGCCCTCAGAGTCCCCCTCCCGTGGCGCTGAAGGGGTTAAAACCCCTTCAGCCACTTACCTTTGTCCTGTGCTGGGCTCCCTCGGTGCTGGTGACCTCTCCTCCCCCTGCCGACGTCGGCTCCCGACTGGAGTGGCAAGTGCCGCGCTCGCATTTAAACAGTCCATAGGAAAGCATTTCTCAATACTTTCCTATGGACACTCTGCACCATGGATGTGAAATTCGCATCCAGCGTCGCAAATGCGCCTCTATCGGCTGTCAGGAAGACAGCCACTAGAGGATGGCTTAACCCCTAATGTAAACATAGCAGTTCTTTGAAACTTATGTTTACAGCTGCAGGGTTAAAACCTGAGGGACATGGCACACAAACCACTTCATTGAGCTGAAGTGGTCTGGGTGACTATAGTGTCCTTTTAATTAAAAACTGCAATAATTATCTTTGCTTGGTTATTGGAACTGGAAATATGCACCCAGAGCACTTCAATGAGCTGAAGTGGTCTGGGTGCCTATAGTGTCCCTTTAAGGGCCAAATATTTAACTTTGCCATCATCACAATTTAGTCCTCATAAATCCTTATGCACTATCAAATGTCCTGCTTATTTTGTATTTGTAACTAATTAAAGACAAATTTAGTGGGTCATTTCATTTTGAAATAAGATGTTTAAATAGTGTTGTTATAACAGACTGTCGCTTTTCATTAAGAGGTTAAAGGAGCACTATAGGGTCATGAACCCAAACATCCTGATTCTATAATGTTAAAAACACTATCTAACCCCCCTGGCTCCCTAAATATAGTAAAATCTTACCTTTATCCCAGTCTGCTGATGGTGACTCTGCCCCTGATCTACCTCCTTGTCTGACATTATCAAAAGTGATCTCAACCAATCATAAATTAATTCAATGCATCTCTATAAGGATATGCTGATTGGCCAGGGTGGTGTTTAGCTGAGATTATCAATTCTGATTATCTCAGCCAAGGAGGCTGGCTGGGGGCAGAGCTAAACACCGCCCTGGCCAATCAACATCTCCTTATAGAGATGCATTGAATCAATTTATCTCTATGAGGAAAGTTCAGTGTCTCCATGCAGAGGGTAAAGACACTACATGTCTGTGCAGAACTGCCCTAGAAAACACCTCTAGTAGCTATCTGAGGAGTGGCCACTGGAAGTGTCCATAGAGAGCAATGTAAACCCTGCTTTTTTTTTTCTAAAAAGACAGTGCTACTGCAAAAAGCCTGCAGGGACTGACTATACACACCAGAACAACTACATTAAGCTGTAGTTGTTCTGGTTACTATAGTGTCCCTTTAAATCAGGGGTCCTCAAACTGTGGCCCTCCAGACGTTGCTGAACTACAACTCTGATGATTCTTTGAATTACATAGATAGCCAGAGAATCATGGGAGTTGTAGTTCAGCAACATCTGGGGGGCCGGAGTTTGAGGACCCCTGCTTTATACAGTTTTAGCAGCAAAGCCGAAACATAGCAGTTTTTTTCATGGTATTTGAATCTGTGCAGTGTATTAGGGAAAACACTGCTGTCTATATATGCATGCTGGACAGGCTGTGAGGCATTTGTGCTTTGTACTTCTATATTCTTGAAGGATTCTTAAGTAGTTAGATGTTTGTTTTTTATTTTACATAATATAAATGTTGCAATGCACTTTACTACGTTTTGACTGAATTTCTATTAATGATTATCAACACAGGGTTTCCATTACTGCATTATTACTCTTCTGTGGGGTCAGAATTTCTAAATAATTGTAAAACTGTCCCCATGCTAACTTATGATTTGTTTTTCTTCAGTAGTTTTTTTACTTTTTGGTTTATACATTGAGTTTAGTGGTAATATGCAGCAAATAAAGATCACGATACATTGCTGTACCCATTCCCTGCTACCATCTAGAATTTTAGTATAACAAAAATTTACTTTATTCCAAAGTTCTTAAAACATAAAATAAATGCACATTTTATTTTCTGAAACATAGGAAAGATAAAATTCAGATTTTTTTTTTTTCCTTCAATAAACATGGTCAGTCTTGTTGTGCTGTCTTGTTGTGCTTGTTGTGCTTAGATCTGTGAAATCTGGCAATAGGATGTAACACTTAAGAACTGTAGCCTCCTTGAGGATGGTGGGTGTATTATGCCGTCCTAAAAAGGGTGGGCTTTAACGCCGGAGGACGGCATAGCACGTCCAGCAGCCCGCCGCCCGTAATAAACTTGACTAACTCAGCGATCCTGTTCTGGGAGGGGACTGCCTGATAGCCCAGGCAGTCCCCCTGCAGCAGTCCTGCCTCTCCGGCCCACCAGGGCCATGTGATCCGCAATAGGAGCCCTCAGTACTGCCTTCAGGGGGACTGCCTGGGCCCCAAACTACTAAAACTGTTATACAACTTACAATAAAGTATTGTGCAAATATATTATACAAATAATTAAAGCATTTTATTAATAGACTATACATAATTATATATAATTTCATGAGAACTGTAATTTGATATAATAAATAAAATGCTCTAATTTTATAATATACATAATATAGAAAATATACAGTCAGGTCCATAAATATTGGGACATCGACACAATTCTAATCTTTTTGGCTCTATACACCACCACAATGGATTTTAAATGAAATGAACACGATGTGTTTTAACTGCAGACTTTCAGCTTTAATTTGAGGGTATTTACATCCAAATCAGGTGAACGGTGTAGGAATTACAACAGTTTGTATATGTGCCTCCCACTTTTCAAGGGACCAAAAGTAATGGGACAATTGGCTGCTCAGCTGTTCCATGGCCAGGTGTGTGTTATTCCATCATTATCTCATTTACAAGGAGCAGATAAAAGGTCCAGAGTTCATTTCAAGTGTGCTATTTGCATTTGGAATCTGTTGCTGTCAACTCTCAATATGAGAGCCAAAGAGCTGTCACTATCAGTGAAGCAAAAATGAAAATCCAGCGCACTCGCTTATCCACTAAACAGTCATTTTAATGCTGAACAATTTTCAGTTTTACTAAAAACTCCTAATCTAGGCAAAAAAATATAATGGGGGTTTAGTTACAGTATATGATCATACATTGCATAAGCCTGCCACAACGCTAATGTACCCCATCTTTGGCAGGTCCTACTCTGTCTGCTAAATGAGCTTCTCACTTGGGGAAATCCTTCCATCTCGAGGTCTCTGCAGTACAATGCTTAAATAGGATCCTGAGAGTGAAGCAAGCCATCATTAGGCTGAAAAAACAAAACAAACCCATCAGAGAGATAAACATTAGGTGTGGCCAAATCAACTGTTTGGAACATCCTTAGAAAGAAAGAACGCACCGGTGAACTCAGCAACACCAAAAGACCACGGAAAACAACTGTTGTGGATAACCAAATAATTCTTTCCCTGGTGAAGAAAACACCCTTCACAATAGATGGCCAGATCAAGAACACTCTCCAGGATGTAGGTGTATGTGTGTCAAAGTCAACAAAGGAAGAGAAGACTTCACCAGAGTGAATACAGAGGGTTTACCACAAGATGTAAACCATTGGTGAGCCTCAAAAACAGGAAGGCCAGATTAGTGTTTGCCAACATCTAAAAAAGCCTTCACAGTTCTGGAACAACATCCTATGGACAGATGAGACCAAGATCAACTTGTACCAGAGTGTTGGGAAGAGAAGAGTATGGAGAAGGAAAGGAACTGCTCATGATCCAAAGCATACCACCTCATCAGTGAAACATGGTGGTGGTAGTGTCATGGCGTGAACATGTATGGCTGCCAATGGAACTGGTTCTCTTGTATTTATTGATGATGTGACTGCTGACAAAAGCAGCAGGATGAATTCTGAAGTGTTTCGGGCAATATTATCTGCTCATATTCAGCCAAATGCTTCAGAACCCATTGGACGGCGCTTCACAGTTTAGATGGACAATGACCTGAAGCATACTGCAAAAGCAACCAAAGAGTTTTTTTAAGGGAAAGAAGTGGAATGTTATGCAATGGCCAAGTCAATCACTTGACCTGAATCCGATTGAGCATGCATTTCACTTGATGAAGACAAAACTGAAGGGAATATGCCCCAAGAACAAGCAGGAACTAAAGACAGTTGCAGTAGAGGCCTGGCAGAGCATCACCAGGGATGAAACCCAGCATCTGGTGCTGTCTATGTGTTCCAGACTTCAGGCTGTAATTGACTGCAAAGGATTTGCAACCATGTATTAAAAAGTGAAAGTTTGATTTATGACTGTTAATCTGTCCCATTACTTTTGGTCCCTTAAAAAGAGGGAGGCACATATACAAACTGTTGTAATTCCTACACCGTTCACCTGATTTGGATGTAAATACCCTCAAATTAAAGCTGAAAGTCTTCAGTTTAAGCACATCTTGTTTGTTTCATTTCAACCCCATTATGTTGGTGTATACAGCCAAAAAGATTAGAATTGTGTCGATGTCCCAATATTTATGGACCTAACTGTATATAAAATTATACATATACATAAAATATGTTTAGAATTCAATGTTTATATTATTCTAGACGTATTTTAAAATGAAAATATAGATATATTTATATAAAAATTTATAATTATATTTATACAGTGGTACCTCGATTTACAAACGCCTCGGTTAACATAATTTTCGGTTTGGAATGAAAATCCATTATAAAATGCCTCAGTTCACAAATTTGTTTCGCAATACAAAGCAAGTTTCCCCAGAATGCATTGCGTCTGGGAGTTTTCTAGTGCCGCCCCTTGCATGCTGGAGTTTGTGGGTAGCACGTGGAGGTGTTGGAGTGGCTTTTGCATCGAGTTTTGGAGCCATTCTGGAATTTTTTTTACCTTTTTGGGTGCATTTCTCAAGCGATGTTCTGCATTGTGGGTTGGTTTCCAAGCCAGCTCATTTTGATTTTTTTCTGACCTCCAGAACGGATTAATTGGTTTTCAATGCATTCCTATGGTAAAGTGCATTTCAGTTTATAAATTTTTAACAATACAAAACGTCCCGGAGAACGCATTAAATTCGTAAACCGAGGTACCACTGTGTATGTATGTGTATATATATATATACACACACACACACACATTTTGCTATATAAATATATCTATATTTTCATATTTAAAATATGTTTACAATCATTAGCTCATGCTTGATGATGTAATGACGCTGAGTGGGCGGAGCGTCGGAGAGATCTGGGAACAGCGATGAATGGCGGCATCCTCTGCTAACATGTGCAAAACGGCTCTGGGAGATCTGTGTTTGCAGTCTGATCCTGAGAGCGGCTTCCTTGGGGGAGTAAATTGGCTCCTGAGCTCTGAAAGGAGCTAAAGAAACCATAATTTTGTGGTTTCATTCGGGAAAGGGGCAGTGCGGATTCCGGACAAAACTGAGAGATTCCTATGCCTACCTTCATTAGTCTGGGTTCCTCCACTATCCCCTACTACAGGATAAGGGCGTATTTACCTTTACGTCTGTATACTTTAAAAGTTTTTTTTTTTTCTCTGTCTCTTGGCTTGCTTATGATATTGTACATAGGAGTAGGTAAGGTTTTATGTTGAATCTAATTTATTTTGGTTTAATAAGTTACAATTGATACAACTCAACTGATATAACTGATACAGTTCAACTGATACAATTGATACAGTTTTAAAGAGCAGAGTTAACACTTAAAAATAACCGCAGTGCTTAAAGTACTTGTCATAATATTGCCACTAAGAAGAGCCAAGAAGCCAGGGAAGCAAGAGAGGCAAAAGACACTAACAATGCATCAAAGAAAGACAAGAAAAGAGATTCATATTTTAGCAAATATAAATAAAAGAAAATTGCTTCTCTATTTTCCCCTCAATCTTATAAAAAAAAAAACGAGATTTTAAATAAATCTCTAGCACATTATTAGTCTCCTCTGAGCTTTGGAGAAACTGAGAAACTGAGGGGGAATCAGTTGAAGGTGCTCAATTAACACAAGACTATCTGCAGCGCTGCCTGGAAGCCCCACTTAACCAGTTCAAAAAGATACTGGACCATCATTTTGATGAATTCAACGAACAAGTCTTGTTCGTAGTCTTGGGGGTAGGATTACAGCAAATGAGGAACATATAGAACACCTAGAATATAAACTTAAGGCTGCTAACACCCAGATTCAAGACCTACAAAAGGAAAAGTTGAAACCTTAGACTCCAAAACAACTACTAATGAGGACAGAGCGCGCAGAAAAAAAATATACGTATAAGAGGTGTATCAGAAAAAAATCAAACAATTCGATCTGTGCTGTCATTGTCTTGGGGATATCTGAAGATCAGGATGAAACAATTATAAAATGGGTGCATAGAACGCCGTAACAGCTGCAGCCCCCAGAGCGCCCGGGATACTTACCTTCCCGGCGCTCCGCTTCGGGAGGACTGCCTCACAGCCCAGGTAGCCCTCCCACTGCAAATATGGTCCCCCTATAGCTAGCTGTGGATCTGAAATGTCAGACAGTCCCCCTGCTGGTGGGAAAGTAAAAAAAAATAATCATTAAACAAATAGAAATGTGTATATATATGTAACGTCATACATAGTGTATTTTAATATTAATATAAGTCGATATATTACTATTAAAATACACTTAGAATGACGTTACATATATATATAATATGTATATATATATATATATATGTAATAGACATATACACATATTATATATTAAATAAAATATTGAAACAAAAGTGAATATAAATTATATATTCATATGTAATTTCATTCTAACTGTATTTTGTTATTAATATATATATATATATATATATATATGTGTAACAAAATACACTTAGAATGACATTATATATATATATATATATATATATATTATAGATAATACATATAATTACATAAAAGATTACATTAGTATACACGTAGAATTTAAATACCTATAAATGCATATATATTAAAATTCTACGTGTATATTTAAGCAATCTTTTAACATAATTATGTGATTTGATTAATGAAAATTTGATTGACATGCCTGACAACACAGGGAGAAAGTGCAGAGAATTTTATTCGCAAGCACTATATTTGACCCTGTAACTCTTCAAGACACCAAAAAACCTGTACATAGGGGGTACTGTTTTACTCGGGAGACTTTGCTGAACTCAAATATTAGTGTTTCAAACATGTAAATTGTATTACAACGATAATATTTTATGTAAAAGTGACGTTTTTTGAATTTTTTTTTTTACAAACAAACAGCACTTTTATGGACTATATTATTGTTGTAATATGTTTTACCGTTTTAAAACACTAATATTTGTGTTTAGTGAAGTCTCACGAGAATAACAGTACCCCCCCTGTACAGGTTTTATGGTGTTTTGGAAAGTTAGAGAGTCACATATAAGGCTTGCATATCATTTTTTTGACATTGAAATTTGCCAGGTTGGTTATGTTGCCTTTGAGAGCGTATGGTAGCCTAGGAATGAGAATTACCCCCATGATGGCATACCATTTGCAGACAACCCAAGGTATTGCAAGTGGGGTATGTCCAGTCTTTCTTAGTAGCCACTTAGTCACAAACACTGGCCAAATATTTTTTCACACAAAAACAAATATGAACTCTAACTTTGGCCAGTGTTTGTGACTAAGTGGCTACTAAAAAAGACTAAACATACCCCACTTTTAATACCTTGGGTTGTCTACTTTTTCAAATGGTATGCCATTAGGGGGGTAATTCTCATTCCTGGGCTACCACACCGTCTCAAAGGTAACATTACTAATCTGGCAAATTTCAATTTGAAAATGGAGCGTTCTATATTTGACCCTGTAACTTTCCAAAACACCATAAAACTTGTTAATGGGAGGTACTGTTGTACTCGTGAGACATTGCTGATTACAAATATGTGCATTCATAATAAATGTTCCATATATGAATAGTTAATGATAAATTAAAGCCCTGTTTCCCCTGAACAAAATTATATATAATAAGTGTGGGGGCACTTAATGTGACAGCGGTGAATTACGGTTGAACAGACATATAGCGCAAATTCCAGTTTTTGTTTACGTTTTGTTTTGATCAGAACGTTTACTATTGACTCCGTCCTGAAGGGGTTAAACAAAAAATAGTTTGGCTGACGAGAGGCTTTCAGAATTTGTTAGCGATGACCAGAACTAACAGAAGATCTTTTGTTTTTTTAATTGATAACTTAAAGGATCACTATAGGGTCAGAAACACCCTATAGGGTTAACACCACCATCTAGCCCCCCTGGGCCCCTCATGCCGCCATAAATATAGCAAAATCTTACTGTATTCAAGTAATTAAAAGATTTATAGGTTACTGGTTTCACCTACAAAATGATGATGGTTGAACAGCACGGTTTATAAGGATTTGTTTTTCATATATGGAACACAGGAATGGGTGGAAACACTTAAGTTTTGAGATAATTGTAATCTACATTAAAAAATAATTTTAGCATGGACTTGATGAGATTATGATTAAGGGTTATCACATGATTGGAAACGCTATGATAGCTAAAATTGTATATTTTGAGAACTTGAGGTACAAGGATATGTCTGATAGCGTAGTGAGAGTCACTTTAAAAATTAATTAGGATATAATAAAAGGTGAAAGGTTAGACATTTAAAGAGGGTGCTGGGTTTTAATTGATTTTCCCCCTCTTTTCCCCCATTGAATCATGAGTAGGGAAATACACCCCCCCCCCCCCTTAATTTATTTAGTCAGAGTTGCACCCGTTAGGGTCTTTCACAAAGGTTATAAAGGATGCAGAGTGGATGCATCGATAGGACAAGGATCCACTATACGGATTTGGATATAGGGGCTGCTCGTAAGGGCAGATTTTATGTTATTTGTGGTGTGTGGTGTCCAAGGGTGGGTTTGGTGCGACCTCAAATCTCTGGTTTTGGTCAGTCGGTCCTTCTGGGGAGGAGAACAGCAACAATATGGGGATAGAGTCACAAAGTACTTTGGGTAATCTAACATTTTTAACCCTCGAGGTTCAGGGTCTTAAAAGCCCTCAGAAGGGTTTGACTATGGTGGATATGTTGCATAAAGAAAGGATTGATATAGCAGCAATTCGAGAGACACACTGGGAATCTGCAGACGCTGCTTGCTTCACTTTTGGTTATTATCCAGAGATGGTATTTTCATCCATGGAACATAAGAAGCAGAAGGGGGGTTTGCCATCTTTTTCTCAAAAGAGATCAAATATGAGTTTTTATCCAAGTTATGCGACAAAGCAGGAAGATTTATTTTTGTGGTTTGTAAACTTAATACTTCTCAATTTTGAATATTTATGGCCCCAATAGGAATCAAGTGCATTTTGTCAATAGGGTGCTGGATAAAATCCAGAACTTGATTCAGGGTACATTTATAGCCTTGGGAGACTTAAATTGCATAGTAGATCCAGTTGTTGATAGGTGTGGTACTATAGAAAGACATCTAAACCCTGTAGTTAAAGGTCTGGCTCAAGTTTTTTTAATCTACATTAGGGAAATTCAAACTTTACGATACTTGGCTTAATCTTAGGCCGTAAAATAGAGATTACACCTTTTTTTTTTTTTTAAATCGTCATTCTTCATATTCAAGAATTGATTTGGTATTGACAGATCAATACTTTATTACACAATGTAAAGTCATTCAAATTATTCCAATTGCATGGTCTGACCATGATGCAGTAGTTTTAGATATGCAAGATTATAAGAGAAGCATAAGAACTTGGAAAATCAATGACACCCTTTTATTAAAAAACGAAAACCTAGATAGTTTGTCAAAATTAAGTTATGATTTTTTTTTTTTTTTTTTTTAAAGAAAATCTAACAGGACATGTAAGCCTGCCAATTGTTTGGTGTGGGTTTAAAAATGTGATGCGCGGTTAACTAATTAAGATGGATTTTCAGTTAAATAAAAAGGGAGGGAATACTGAGCAAGCCTGTATGTAAAACTGGCAGATTTGACAAGTTTAAATAAAAGAGCCTTTGACAAAACTAGATCTTATAAAATTTCCCTAATAAGGAATGCCATAAGAGAACAATTAAAAATGAAAGCTGATAGAATAATGGTTAAGATGAAACAAACGTGGTATTATTTAGGCAACCAAGCTGATAAACTTATGTCAAACCAGTTTAAAAAGGGATAATCAGAGAAATAGAATTTTTAAGATTATAGATGGGTTGGAAACCTGAATAAGTCCAGCGGCTATTGGGAACGCATTTAAGAGGTTTTATACAACACTCAACCTCCCTAAAAAGCAGAAACTCCAGACAGATTCAAAGCTAACCCAAATCTTGCAAGATCTAAAAGAGTGGTTAGATTCCCCACTGAAAGAGGATGAAATTAAGAGACTTAGTGTCATGTTCACGATCAGGTCAGATAGAAGACGATTGCCAGGTTTAACAGAAGTGACTTTTTTTGTATCCTTTGACATTATAACAGTTATTTGCGTTGAAATAATAAAAAGCAAAAGGAAGAAATCATTAAGGCAATATGCCCTTTAACGTAAACAACCAAAAGTGCAAATCAAGTTTTCAGTAATGTCCAGATAATGGGTTTATGCAGGTTGTTTTTATCAAGGTAGTTCTGGTGCAGGTTTCAAAGAATTCAGGCAGGTATGCAATACACGCAAGTTCAGGATGGTGCAGGGTTGAAGCAATTCAGGCAGGTAAGTACCTTTAGGTATGATGCAATGCAGGCAAGTACAGGATGGTGCAAGGTTAAAGCAATTCAGGCAGGTATGCAATACACGCAAGTTCAGGATGGTGCAGGGTTGAAGCAATTCAGGCAGGTAAGTATCTTTAGGTATGATGCAATGCAGGCAAGTACAGGATGGTGCAAGGTTAAAGCAATTCAGGCAGGTATGCAATACAGGCAAGTACAGGATGGTGCAAGGGTTGAAGCTATTCAGGCAGGTAAGTACCTTTAGGTATGATGCGATGCAGGCAAGTACAGAATGGTGCAGGGCTTCTTACAGGAGCCAGGATCTGAAGTTCTTGGTTTGAACACTAACTTCAATGTAATGGCCATGAAGTTAGTTGGGTGTAACTTTTTGTAGTTGAAGTAATTAGTCCAATGCAGGTGAGGACTGAGGTGACTAGTGGCTAGGGAGGCCACTAGAGGTGAAAACCAGAACTGCATTTAAAGGAACCTCCTTGAAGAAGTGCTTAAAGCTTTCAACTTGGGGAGTGGGTTAGTCAACTCGGTCATGGCTTTATATACTATTCCAACTGCTAAAATAGTGGGTCAGGCGTTTAATTCTGATTGGAATATGGCCGTGGTGCCCGTTGGTACCAATGCTTTATATTTTATTGTTGGAACCCATGGCAGGAAGAATCAGGGCTTTGCAAAACACTGAGGGAGTTAAAGTGGGGAAACGGATATGTAAAATAAATCTGTTTGCAGATTACGTGTTGCTGACTTTGACAAATCCTGAAAAATCTTTAGAAGCAGTTTTGAGGAAAACGTATAAATATGGAGAGATGTCTAATTTTAAAATTAATATACATAAGACAATGCATGGACTAACAAATAAATATAAATTTTTGTGGACAAGTGTCTCTGACATATTTGGGCATATATATACCCGGGGATCTAGAACAGATACTTGACTTAAATTACACCCCCCTGTTTAAAGATCTTACAAAGCAGACCAGCGAATGGAATAATCTAAATTTGTCTTTTTTGGCAAAATTAACCTGGTTAAAGCCTATATTTTACCTAGATGGATTTACTCTCTTATAATAATAATAATTTGCATTTTTTATAGCGCTTTTCTCCCTGTGAGACTCAAAGCACTTTAAAAATAAACAAACATAAAGACATAAAAGTTAGGAGTTTCTGAAGGTCAGATGAGCGGACTTAATGCCTGATGGAAGAGTTGGGTCTTTAAAGGACCACTATAGTGCCAGGAAAACATACTCGTTTTCCTGGCACTATAGTGCCCTGAGGGTGCCCCCACCCTCAGGGTCCCCCTCCCGCCCGGCTCTGGAAGGGGGAAAGGGGTTAAATCTTACCTTTTTCCAGCGCTGGGCGGGGAACTCTCCTCCTTCTCTCCTCCTCCGTTCCTCCTCCTGGGCTGAATTCGCACGCACGGCAAGAGCTGCGCGCGCATTCAGCCCGTCGCATAGGAAAGCATTTACAATGCTTTCCTATGGACGCTTGCGTGCTCTCACTGTGATTTTCACAGTGAGAAGCACGCAAGCGCCTCTAGTGGCTGTCAATGAGACAGCCACTAGAGGATTAGGGGGAAGGCTTAACCCATTCATAAACATAGCAGTTTCTCTGAAACTGCTAGGTTTATAAAAAAATGGGTTAACCCTAGAAGGACCTGGCACCCAGACCACTTCATTAAGCTGAAGTGGTCTGGGTGCCTAGAGTGGTCCTTTAACTTGTTTTAAAAAGACTGTAAGGACGGTGCCTCTCTGATTGCACACGGTAAAGAGTTCCAGAGGTTGGGGGGCAGCGTGGCTGAATGCCCTGGAACCTGAGTCTGTCTTTATTCTTGGCACTGATAGGAGGGATTTGCTGGCTGACCAAAGTGAATGGGATGGAATGTAGGGTGTTCAGAGCTCTTTCAGGTACTGTGGGCCTTGGTTGTTTAAGTCTTTAAAGGTCAGCAGGCCAATTTTAAAATATGTTCACCATTTAATTGGGAGCCAATGCCGGGAGTGGAGAATAGGTATTATGTGGCAGGAGCAAGTTTGATTAGTTCTTGTAAGTAAAGTACATTGCAGTAATCTAGCCGAGAGGATACAAATGCATGGATTAATGTTGGCATATCATCTGGTGGAATTAAGTGTTGTATCCTGGCCATGTTTTTCATATGAAAGCAGGCAGATTTTATTACGGAGGGAATCTGCTGTTTAAATTATAGTCCAGAGTCAATCAGCCCTCAGCAGTTTCGTACCTTTGCTGAACTAATGATTTTAGAGCCTCCAAGCTCCAGGCCAGTTGGGTGATCATGGGATATTTTTGTTGCCCGGGGTCCCTTCACCAAGAGTAACTGTTTTGTCTGGGTTCACTTTAAGCCAACTAGCATTCATCCATTCTATGAGGTCTGCTAAGCAACTGTTTATGCGGCATGTTGGGTCTGTGGTAGTAGGGTGGTGTGTCATCCGTGTAACAGTGATACCTTAGGCCATGTCGCCTAATAATGTCCCCCAGTGGTAGCAAGTAAATTGCGAATATCATGGGAAACAAGATGGATCCTTGTGGAACTCCGCAGGTCAGTTCTGTTGATGCCGATGAGCTTGATCCTGATGTTACTCTCTGTGATCTACCAGCGAGGAAAGATTTAAAGCAGTTAAGGACTGTGCCTCCTAGACCACAGATGTGCTGCAAGCGATCTATTAAAATCCAATGGTCAATGGTATCAAATGCAGCTGAGAGATTCAAGAGGATTAGGATGCAGTAATCACCTTTGTCTCTCGCCATAAGGAGATAATTTAGCACTCGGACTAGCGCTGTTTCAGTGCTGTGGCGGCATCTAAAGCCTGACTGCAAAGGATCAAATGTGTTCAAGCTTGATAGAGTGGCCTCCAGTTGAGTTGACACTATTTTTTCAATTATTTTCCCTAGCAATGGAAGGTTGGATACTGGTCTGTAATCAGCCATGCAGTCGGTGTCTAATAAAGGTTTGTGGTTTTACCACAGCTTCTTTTAGAGGATCTGGGAAGTCTCCAGTTTTTAGTGAACACTGCACTATTTTTATGAGGGCTGGGGCGAGTGTTTCAATGCGTGCGGATATAAGCTGAGTTGGAGCAGGATCTAAGTCACATGTAGTAGGGTGTAACTTTTGCATGGTTCTTTTAACTCCCTTTATCCCCTTAAGGACCAAACGTCTGGAATAAAAGGGAATCATGACATGCCATGTGTCCTAAAGGGGTTAAATCCACATTTGTAAAAGTGGACCATAAACTGAGGCAATCTGGAATTGTTTTTGTGAATTGATATTCATTTAGATGTTTGGTAAGAGAGGCTTGATCCTCTGGATCATGTGTCCTGTGCCACTTTCTCTCAAGTATACAGCCTGTTCTCTTCATTTCTCTGATGGAGCTATCAAACCCATAGTGTTGTGGGTTTTGGCAGTGCGTATTCGTGTTGGTGCAATGTTTTCTAGGGTGTCTCTCATGATTTTGTTGTAGAGCCGGACTAAGGAGCTGGGGTCTTCACAGGTGCCCATTAGTTAACTTAGATATATATGTGATGTTACATAGCGTCACCCTTTTAATAAGAGGTGTTTGACCAGGTTCTAAAGCTCTCCATTCTCGGAGAGCATGACTCGAAGGCAAACCTGATCACATATTTTAGATACATCGATGATATGTTTTTTATTTGGGACGGCTCGGAAAGCTCCCTCAATCAGTTCCTATCTTTTCTAAATTGCAATAATAATGGTATAGTTTTAACACATGAATATAGCCCATCTTCTATTCATTTTCTAGATCTAGAAATTTTTATTCAAAACAATGAGGTTCATACCAAAACTTTTTTTTAAAAAGTGTGTACAAATAATGTGATTAATATATCAAGCTGTCATTATAAACCATGACTACATGGAATACCCAAGAGTCAGTTCTTCCGTCTTCGGAGGAACTGTTCTCTTACTCAAGATTTTGAAACTCAATCCCAAATACTATTAAATACATTTTCACAAAAAAACTACCCTGCAAACAATTTAAACCAAACTATAAAAAGTGTCAGGGAAAAAGATAGAATGGACCTTTTAGACTATAAAGTTTCTAAAAATGCCCCATCATTGCCAATTATTTTCGACAATAAAAAAAATTATGTTATGAAGAAGATTATTAATAAACATTGGCATATATTAAAACAGGATGAGACTCTAGCTGGTATTATCCCTGATAAACCACATGTTATATTCAGAGGGGCTCCCAGCTTTAAATCCATCCTTACAAAGAATTAAACGAAACAAAGCAACTACCCTTCCTCTCTGCCCCCCTCCCTTTCCGTTGAAGCCGAAAGGCTTTTTTTAAATGCAACAAATGCATAGTATGCAAACACACGGACGATACCGTTAAATCAAAAACTATTTCTTTTAAATCATCTATTTCACAAAGAACATACCCTATAAAAGATTTTATTCATTGTAGCACCAAAAATGTAATGTATGGTGCTACAATGAATACATGGGCATGACTACCAGATAATTAAAAATTAGATTGGCAGAACATTGCCGAAATATTCGAAAAGGGTACGAAAATCATTCAGTATTAAAACATTTTTTAATACACGGTAAAAACCCTCAACTTCTAAAATGCATAGGTATAGATACCTGCAATATTCCCTGGAGAGGAGGTGATATCAAAAAGATTTTAGGTAGCAAAGAGATGGAATGGGTATTTAATTTAAAAACCCTCACCCCACAAGGTCTCAATATAGACTTTGACCTTTTTAATTTTTTATAATTTTTTATATTATTATCATTATCAATTATTACCTCTTTTCCCGTTTTTATACTTATTAAAATATTTTTATAGTGTTTTTATCTTGTATTTTTTATTCCTTTTTTTATGTATTTATATTTTCATTATTACCTATTTTATTATTATTTATTCCCATTCATACCCCTTCCTTCTATTTGTACCTGGGCTTCTGATAACTATCATATTTTTACCTGGTCACTTGATATTTACTAAAGTGATTTTACTGGTACTATCTGTTTATTCTTAGGAATATAATATTATATTTTATTTTCTTGTCTCTGCCTATTTGTAATTTAATATGTGCAGCCCGCCTGTTTACAGCCGTGAGCATGCTGTCTGCTCGTCAGTTTGAGCAGACAGCATGCTTACACTGTTCCCCGGTCGCAATCACCAGAGGGCTCCTCCCCTCTGATGACGTGACGTTTCTAGGATTCCGCCCAGCCGGCACATTCTCCATACGCATGCGTTCCAGTATAATGGAACGCATGCGTTCCACCCGAGTCACGTGACGCGGAAGTAATTTAGCCGCGCGTCACGTGACTCTTATTTTAATTCATTTTACTATATATTTACCCCTCGTTTTTTATAATTTATATGCATAAACAATTCTTTTAAGTATATATACTATGATGATATTACTGTCACATTATTTTAATATGTGTCTCAAAATCAAGTTTGTTATGATGTCATTTTGGCGGGAATATTTAAATTCCAATACAATCAATGTACCCTATATAAGGAATTGTAAGTCAGGTTTATGTATTTTTATTATATTCTACTTGAAGAAGCCTATTGTGGCGAAACGCGGCTAGAATTTAATTTTATTTATTTTATACTATTGTAATAAAGGAATTTTGGCCTCAAAAAATACATTTATAGTAGCCACATTCCTATTTTTATTTTATTTCATTTTAATTCTTTTAAACCTGACTATTTGGATCTACACCATCTTAAGGAACGCCAAAATAATCCCTAGGTGGGGATTATACCACCCATACGCTATTATTTGAGCAGTGAAATCTGCTCAACACATTGTGAGTACATTTCATACTTCCTTTTTATCTACATTTAAGTTATTCAGTGAGCACTATATATTTTTTTATCCTTTTCATTTTCGGTTGGAACTCCCGGTGAACTACTACTCCATACATCCTTGAGTGGGGATCATTCCACTTCACGCATTTCATACCAGAGCTGGATTTTAGCTCATGGAAATTGTGAGTACACTAAATTATTTTATATATATATATATATATATATATATTGATATACTGCACTATTGGATCTCCTCTCCATTTCTTTCCACATATGGCTTATTGAGAATACAAGTCTTCATTTGGGAAGAACCATCATTGGTCTACAAGAATCTTCTCCGTTTGTTGTGGACTATCACCTTGGACTCTTAATTTTTATGAGTTTTAGTTATATATTATCGTGTGTATTCTTTCTGATACATACTGTATTAAAGGCGTGCCCTTTTTCTTTGTTTTTTTAATGTTCTAATTTATTGTAGGGGACAGGAGGGTACTCCCCCTTTAGGTGTGCTGTCTTTACACTACTATACATACTTTTATTTGTGGTATTATTAGCGCTGATCCTATTTTGATCTTTTCTCTCTAAAGCTGGGGTCTGGTTGATTGTGATACAATGGAGAAGTGAATGGAGTGGTGGTCTGACCAAACAACTGGATTTACAGTTACTCATGACACTTCTAGTCCAGACTGCAACACTAGATCAAGTGTATGACATTTTTGTGGGTGGAAGTGGCGACTATTTGTGTGAAGCCGAGTGCACTCATCAAGCTGAGAAGATCCTGCCCAAGCAGGGATAGGGTGTCATCTATCCAGGTGTTGAAGTCTCCCAATATAAGCTATCTGGGGTGTTCAAGGATTAAGCCAGCCAAAAGGTCTGAGAGTTCCTGAAGAAATCTCTTCCCATCTCCTCCCATCTCCTGGGGGTCTGTATATTAACAGTATCTGGAATCTATGCATTCAAAAGATTGGGGTTTGTGGACTTCTATTGGTCTGAGATTTTAGGATGATTTCGCACTCCAACTTTGCGATCTTGTCTTGGGAGGTGGAACACCATGTAATTGCCTGGAATAGCTGCCTCTAGAATAGGCCCCGCATTTTCAACTAGCCATGATTCTGTAATGCATGCTAATTCCCATGTTTTAATAAGGTTGGCAATAATAGCTGTTTTGTTTCTTATTTATCTGGCATTGTACAGGATTGATCTGATAGGACAGTCTTGGGATTCTGAGTTTTTGCTCTGTACTTTGGAAACAGTGTGTCTTCTAATGAGGATCACACAAAGAGGTTTCCTTGATTTGGTAGTGCGTTTTTTTGTGGCTTTTGTCAGTCCCTTTGAAGATGCCAAGTGATTTTAGGGTAACCACTCGCGAGTGCAGCGACTGCTTTTTGGGGTCATAGGGAATACAGATATGAGGGAGTTTAGGGGATTATTTCCTCAGCAGTGAAGGATTAAAAATAGCTTCTAGTTTTTGTAGGGATGTTAGCAGTGGGGGCTGGTAACATTGCCATGTGTAGCGGAGTAGTAGTATTATCCACGGTATCTCCGCTCAGCAGGTAAAAAGTAGGCAAAATACAGGTAGCATAGTTACAATCCCTTTCTCCCAAGAACTAGACGACACATAGCTGAGGGCTTTATTGAGAAGTGACCAAATTTATACGGTTCCCCATGCAAGGGGTTTCTGAACTGTTACAGCAGGGGTTTTAATCATGTGGACTATGTGGGAAACTGACCATGCAAGGTCATTTCCCAGCATTCCCTACTGTACAGGGACCCAGATGACGTAAGCAGGCACAGATAATTACATTACTAACAGGCACAGGAAAAAGAAACATTTTACATTAAATTCACTAACTTTGGCAATTCACCACATATTTTACCGAATGACCCCTCATTAGATTGCAGGGATCGATCGGTACAATATACCGAAGTACCGCTCTGATCCCTGCAGAAACAATCGAACACGGCTTGCAATAGACATTTACACGAACTGGGTTTTAGCAGAGAAAACTCACGAGTGGTTTTATTTTCCCGAAGGAGAGAGTTTCCCGACCACTATGGGAGTCCAGCGGTGTTTGGAAATCAAGTAGCCGATTTCGGTTCCAGGCACTTGACAACCAAACACTGCTGAACTCTAACAAAGCAAAGATGGCCGCCGCCACGTGTTCGGTACACGAACGGCGGCCACACACAGAATGCTCATTAACGGATGGATACAATGTTTCAGTTTTACAAACGAGCGTCACACGACCTTCTGGGGTGGTCTTCCATTCGGTATTTTGTTCGTTTCACAAACAGGGTTGGAATCCACTGTTCGTGAAACTTGAAACAGCGTGTTAGCGGCATAAGTGCACTGTAACACATGAATGCATAAGAACATTAGGTGAAATTTTAACATACAGATAAATTTAACAGGGGTTAAGTTTCTCACGGATAGAGACACAATGGAAGCAACAATCAGGCATATATATGTATAATACTCTGTTAGTGGCTAGGTTTGCCACACAATGCTCTAAAGGATTCAGGCCTGAGGTGTGAGATATTGCACTTCAGGCTGCATTGTAGAGAACAGATAAGAAAGCATGCATGCAGGTCAGATTACAAGAGTTCAAAATCAATGTGTTTTAGTGAAATAGTTTTCATCAATTCATTTTCTTGGTGTTTAGAAATAAAATCTGAGCATTGCTGAATGGATGATCAAATCCAAAACCCAATTTACACATGGGGGGGTGGGGGGGGTGAGTAATTTTATTTTAGTTTAAATGTACCTTGTTTGTGGTGTTCAGCTGAAGGTATCTCTTCCTGGTAATAAGATGGTCCAGTGGAAGTATATTTTAACCCGTTGTGTATCTCAGTTTAGTAATGCCATCCGTTCAATTTTGGTAAATCCAGTTGTGTGATATTTGAAGTCGAAATTGGTCCTTGAAATATTTATGATGAATTATGAGTGTAAGGAGCCTGAGAAAAGTGTGGCAGCCAGCAGGGGCGCCTGGTAAAAAAAAAAAAAATAAAAAAAAAAAAACCCTTAGAATAATTCCTATTCCATTACCCACTGCATGGTGTCAAACTTTTAAAAAGGTTGTGAGTAAATTTATCTGGAAAAATAAAAAAGATCGAGGTGGTGTAGAGTTACCATGTATGGAGAGGAATGTTCAATCCTCCAAAATGGAGGATTGGTACGGGATTGAGCAACAGCTAAAGGGGGTCAATAACTTGGCAATTCTTTTATGGATGGAGCAGGACGTAATAGGAGCTAGGATCAAAGATTCAAGTAATAGTATTTTAAGTGGGCTTCTGAGAATTTGGAAGAAATTTTAAAAGAAAGATCAGCTAAAAAACTCTATAAGTAAAGAGGTCCCAGTTGTTATTTTTGAAGATTTGTTTGTTGACCTGAACATAGATTCATGGCCATATAAAAAGAATATGAAAGCTATAGACCTGTTTTAAGAGGGGGGTTTTAAGAGTATTGCTTAATTAAATCGTGATTTTAATATCCCAATAAATCAATATTTTAGTGTATATAGAATTCAATATATTGCAAAACATCAGTGTTCTGAGGACAAGGTCGAGTTGTTTTCCCAAATAGAAAAACTGCTAAGTAAAGTCCACCAACCAGGCAGTCTAAAAAGATGGTATTATATGTTGGAACAATAGGCGCCTGATAGGTTCCCTAAAGCTTGGAATAGTTGGTCGCTAGAGGTAGACATTGAGAGTGAGTTGAAAATATGGGCCGAAAATTGGACTATTACAAAAAGAGCTACACATTGTATAAACATTCAGGAACTCCAATTTAAGATAATGTTTAGATAGTACATTGTACCACAAATGATACCCAAGTTTAATGCATCAATGTCTGAGGCCTGCTGGCGGTGTGGAGAAAACATAGGTAACGACCTACACATGTGGTGGGAGTGTAAACATACTTGGAAAGAGGTTATTTCTGCCTTGACTAAGTCTGTAATTAATCCTCATCCGAAAATAGTTATACTTCATTGTGGTTTAACAAATTTACCATCTGTATTGAGGAGTTTGGTTATTCGTGTCCTTTTGGCCATGAAGCTTATAATAGCTCGGAACTGGAAAAATCTGAATTATATTAGTTGGAGAGAGGTAAAATATCAGATTGACCATGTAGCTAGGATAGAAAAAGGTTATTTTATTTCTCATTTCAATTTAGAAGGATTCTACATAATATGGTGTCTATGGTACACTAAGTTTCCGGAGGTATACTCCGCTGGGAGGGGGATTGGTAATTAGTTTTTCTTTTGTCTCTGCTGGGTGACCGAGTGGCTGACGAAGGACCATAGAAGGGGGGTCGCATTAGATGGGGTGAAGGTTGTTTGTCTATTTAAGGTGTTGTAGTTAGGAATCGAACAAGTAGTGTTCTTGGTTACTAATTTTAGGGTAGGGGATTCTGCAATTTCTCTTTTATCGCTCATGCAAATTCTTGATCAATGTAAAATGCAGTGGATGATGATACAACCAAGAGTATCTGAGAGATTGCCGTAAGAGAATTTCGTTAAAAAAAAAAAATATATATATATATGTTTAGAATAAAATGTAATTATATATTTATATAATTTAATTCTAAACTTATTTTATGTGTATGTATCATTTTATAGATATGTAAGACAATCAATAGATATTGAAAACCTGGAGGATGCAATCAGGTAGAAAACATTTTTGGGAGTATGGGAAGGCACAAATCATATAAAATTACCCACTTCAACTGGTAAAACCCAAAAGCTTAAAAAAATTACCAGGAGTAGTTAAAAATAAAATAAAAGGGGGGCGGGGCCGGACCGCCGAGCTGGAAGGCAGCATGGCAGCTCAGCTCCTACAAATTAATAACTAAATAGCCACAAAAAGAACATTTCTAACCATACCACGGACCGCCAGTGCCTGTCCTCAGTGTACAGGGGACACTGGATCCAGGGTGAGGCTGGCTCCCCAAGCTACAGTCCCCAGGAGGAGAGACCCTTGATGCCCTAATTTGGGCCTACTCTGGCGGTGAGTGGGGCGGACGGCCGCTGCTCCACTATCCTGCCTAACAGACCCAACCAAAGGACGGCAACCGTGTGGATCTGGCCCTGTCCCCCCCCCCGGACCGGTGGGGGTGATCCCGGTCCGCACCCTGGGACCCAGACCGAAACAGCACAACCCGGGGGCCAACACCGTTGCCACCCAGCCTCGTGGCCCAAAGGCCTCAACTAAAATGGCGGCTGACAGAAGGAGGGTAAGCCCTTTCCACGATCCCGAGGGGAGCAAAGAGACCTCCGGGAACAAGCTGGTCCGACGACTACTATGGCAAGCAACAAGCCACTAGTACAGCAACCAAGCAAAAAAGGCTAACCACTCACAGCCACCCCTGGTGAGACCGCGCCACCAACTAACGACCAACCGACATCTAGATTGCAATGAACTCACAGGGGGCACCGATAATGCAGAGACTCATACGACCTATCTACGACAACGATACTTTACCCTCTTACCAGCATTGAGCCACAACGCAAAAGTCTCTCCACCAAGCAGCAAAGCGGAACGGGCGGACAACATCCACAAGACTACAAGCGAATGGGCACAACAATGCTCCACAACCCACTGGATGATCCGACGTCCCCACTACTACTCCTACCGGAGCAACCGGGGGAACATGGACATGACTGCAACCTTGAACACCAGCGGCAAGCATAAAATACTGTCTAAATATAAGAGACTGCCAACATAAAGGGGGTTCTTAGTAACTCAGTCGTTTTTACCAGCTACCAGTCAGGAATATGGGGATCTGCACTTAACTAGCTAATAGTGTTGTGTCTTTTTCTCGGGAGGTGGGAGGCATAGCTGGTTAATCTGGGTCCAGGGAAGTGCTTGTAACTAAATGCTTAATTACTGAAGCACCACATCTGGCAAGGCACAATTTTGATGTATAGGCTCCATCACATATCAACCGAGTTACATGTTAAAACTAGCCTGATGCAATTACCGTTGACAGAACCCTATTACTTTGTTATTATATGCCATAGCCTGGTTTAGTTTCCTTTTTCTTTTAAGCTATTATAGTTCATCGACCGGTAATCTAAGTATGAACAAAACGGTATTTCTGATATATGAGTAACACTACTAAACTAAGCTGGTTTCCCCTAAGTTTCATAATTGTTTGAGTCAAATGATTGCTAAAATGTGCCAGGCATAGAACAACAACCACCAGTTAAGCATAACTATCAACAACTCGCATACATTTAACATTGATCGCATGTATTCGTACGCATACTTACTTATAAAAATGTGCAGCTTCAACCTGTCATGACAATATTTACGTTGATATACCTGTGACTGCTGTCGTGGCATAACAGGCATGTTTGTAACCCATAATGCACAACAAAAATAAAGAATAAAAAAAAAATTAAAAAAAAACAATAAAATACTTTAAATTTGAAGAAGTACAGAAAAAAGGGGGTATATCCACTAAACTGTAATTGGAAGATAAAAATAAATAAATTATGCTGCAATCAGATTGGCTCAAAGTCTAGATTTATGCGCAGTCCATGTCCATATTGCACATAAAGGAGGATAATAAATGCCCACACTGTAATAAAAATGATACAGTCTAGTCCACAATGTATCACCTGTAAAAGCCACTGAATGCAATGGCTCCTGCAACAAAAACAAACAGGAGACCTATAGATTCTGCTGAAATATAGCATCAGACTTAATTCCCAACTGTATATACAAGCACTGATGCACAGATATCATAAAATTGGGTAAAAGACTGAAGACAAGAGGAGTATTTCAAAACTTCAATATCAAATTGATCTACAAATATAAAAACAGGGCCATAGTGCTCTCTGTAATAATTTATTATGATAAAAGATTAAAGGATCACTACAGAGTCGGGAACACAAACATATATTCCTGATAGGCCCTTCATGCCTCCCTAAATATAGCAAAATCTTACTGTATGCAAGCCTGAAGCTGTAAGTCTGCATGCTGTTAGACTCAGAAAAACAAGCAGTCTGCTGACATCATCAGAAGTGGTAGCCTGATCCAATCACAATGCTTCCCCATAGGATTGGCTGAGACTGACAAGGAGGCAGATCAGGGGCAGAGCCAGCATGATTCAAACACAGCCCTGGCCAATCAGCATCTCCTCATAGAGATGAATTGAATCAATGAATCTCTATGAGGAAAGTTCAGTGTCTGCATGCAGAGGGAGGAGACACTGAATGTTTGGATGCATTTT